CATAGAATTTGAGTTAGAAAACTACAAGTTATATCAATATATACTAGGTTATCCCATTTGTTTCACAGAATTTGAGCTACAAAACTAACAAGTTATACCAATATTTACTAAGTTACCCATTTTGTTTCCGAATTTAATTTAGAAAAACTAACAAGTTATAGCAAGATTTACTAAGGTACACTATTTATTTAACCGATTACTAAGTTACAAAAACTAGCAAGTTATACTAATTTGCACTTAGTTGGCCACAGTATTGAGACATACCTTTGAATGGCTGGAGTCCGACACAGTTTTTTCTGTGTCATTTACATGCGACTCAGTGTCATTCGAACCATCAGGGACTTCGCGTTGTCCTGGAGGCGAATCACCAACATAATTTGGGTTCTTCGTGCGCGCCATTGATCTTCGAAAAACCAAACAACCCAACATTATAACTTCGCAAAATCGGTTAAGCATTTTAACCTAAATTCGACGCGAATTCTACTCAAAATTGCAAAATATATACTCGGATTTGAATAAAGGAATTAGATTCGGACTTACTTTTAAATTAGATTTCGAGTTACGAAGAGTTATCCTTGGTTGTACTAGAAGAAGCGAAGAGAGTTGGAAGAGGAGATGGGCGGACTTGTTTTTTTTTTTTAAAAACTGTCGAGGGAGTTTTCGGGTTAAAGAGGGAGAGTGGGATCCGAATTTTCTGGGTTTGGGTGTGGGTTGATCCATTTAGGGTGGTTGGGTCTGTAAATAAGAAATTTCATTAAGGGGTTTTGGGTCTTTAGCCTTTTTTGATTTTTATACACAAAATTTAAATCAGAAATTTTTTTTTTTTGAACACAAGGTTATATCTGAATAGCATGTATGCTATAAGGGTATAGGAGGACATGGTCCCTTCACCGATCTTCTCCTAAAATAACCTTCTTTGCGTTACCGTCTCTTGGCAACTTCGTACCTGATATTTGGACAATAGAAGCTTCTTCTTAGGGTTTGTGGCTCCAACGGTGACGGTAATTATTTTCCCAGATCTAATATTTGGATTGTTCGAAGCTTACTTGGTTTCAGAGTCGAAATCAGTCTCTGCGACGGAATCCCGAAGACGAACTCGCGAGATTGACTCTTGATCTTCTCCAATGAACCGCAAAATCTAGGAGATTTTCTCAGATCTGCAACCACAACCGGCGAGTCGTTGACGATGACGCGATGTAGGAGATTGAGATGATGAGAAATTTTGATTTTCATGTGGTCGATTTTTTGGACTTTTACCAGATGTTTAAAAAACTAGATCTCAAAGAGTAAAATAACTTATTATTAATAAAAGTAACCAAATCTACCCAACTACTACCTAGAGTCAATTATCGGGGTAATGTGGTCTTTCTCCACCAAAAAAAGTATGCCATCTGCCAGAAGTATGTATATTGTTTGTTACACAATTCTCAAAACGTAAATAACTCTTTAATTTGATCAGTCGATAGATATGTTAAGTCAAAGAATCATATGGTATAATGTCTAATTTATAGCAAATTTAATGTCAATACAAGAAGAGTTATAATAACTTATGAATAAGAAAATGAAACTCAAAAGTATTATTGTACTTTTGCACCAACCATTTTGAAGTAAGTAGCTTTCCCTATCGAAGATTTGTTGAATGTAACATGGAGACTGAAAACTGACTTGAATCTTCTTCTCTCAGACTTGACGGCGTCGTTTAGTTACTTGATTCTTTTCCCAACCAAAACCAACACAGCAAGTAACGACCAAACAAAAAATTCAACAAAACTACTAAAAAAAATAAATCAGTCAAAAAGGTTTCTCCTTTTTCTTCAGTATCACACAGTCAATGACCCATAGAAGGAGCTCTCTTCTAAACTTTCTCTGAGAGGAAACAAAAAAAAAACCTTAGAGATAGAAATAGATCCAGATGAAGAACAACATCTTCACTACACTCTTATGGCTTCTCTTAATCATATCCTTCCTATGTTCTTCTTCTTCTGCTGAAGACGATGTTCTTTGTCTCCAAGGTCTGAAGAATTCACTCACCGACCCATCATCTCGACTCACTTCCTGGTCTTTCCCAAACTCTTCAGCTTCCTCGATTTGTAAGCTCACCGGGGTTTCTTGCTGGAACGAGAAGGAAAATCGCATTCTCTCACTTCAGCTCCAATCGATGCAACTCGCCGGTCAGATTCCTGAGTCGCTTAAGCTTTGTCATAGTTTACAATCACTAGATCTCTCCGGAAACGATCTCTCTGGTCCGATTCCTTCCCAAATCTGCTCTTGGCTTCCTTACCTCGTCACATTAGATCTCTCTGGTAATAAACTTTCCGGCTCGATCCCGACTCAGATCGTCGAGTGTAAGTTCTTAAACGCTCTTCTTCTCAGTGATAATAAGCTATCGGGTTCGATTCCTTCTCAGTTGAGTCGTTTAGATCGGCTCAGGCGTCTTTCTCTCGCCGGAAATGATCTCTCCGGTACGATTCCGTCCGAGCTGTCTCGGTTCGGAGAAGACGATTTTAGCGGTAATGACGGACTTTGCGGGAAGCCCTTGTCGGGATGCGGCGCGTTGAGCGGAAGAAATCTGACGATCATTATAGTCGCTGGAGTTCTCGGTGCTGTTGGATCTTTGTGTGTGGGTTTAGCGATTTTCTGGTGGTTCTTTATCAGAGAAGGTAGTAGGAAGAAGAAAGGTTACGGTGCTGGAAAATCTAAAGATGATAGTGATTGGATTGGTTTGTTGAGGTCACATAAGCTTGTTCAGGTGACTTTGTTTCAGAAACCGATTGTGAAGATCAAATTGGGTGATCTAATGGCTGCTACAAACAGTTTTAGTTCAGGGAATATCGATGTTTCGTCAAGAACTGGAGTTTCGTATAAAGCGGATTTACCTGATGGGTCTGCGCTTGCGGTTAAGAGGCTTAGTGCTTGCGGGTTTGGTGAGAAACAGTTCAGGTCGGAGATGAATAGGTTAGGTGAGCTTAGACATCCGAATTTGGTGCCGCTTTTAGGGTATTGTGTTGTAGAAGATGAGAGATTGTTGGTGTATAAGCATATGCCTAATGGCACATTGTTCTCTCAATTGCACAATGGTGGATTGTGTGATGCTGTTTTGGATTGGCCTACTCGGCTTATGATTGGTGTGGGAGCTGCTAGAGGGTTAGCTTGGCTGCATCATGGATGCCAGCCGCCGTATTTGCATCAGTTCATTAGTTCTAATGTTATACTTCTTGATGATGACTTTGATGCTCGGATTACAGATTACGGTTTGGCAAGGCTAGTCGGTTCTCGTGATTCGAATGATAGCTCGTTCAATAATGGAGATTTGGGGGAGTTAGGTTATGTGGCACCTGAGTATTCGAGCACCATGGTTGCATCTTTGAAAGGAGATGTGTATGGGTTTGGGATTGTGCTTCTTGAATTGGTTACAGGACAAAAGCCTCTGTCTGTTATTAATAATGGCGTGGAAGGGTTTAAAGGGAGTTTAGTAGACTGGGTGTGTCAGAATTTGGGTACAGGTAGAAGCAAAGATGCAATCGACAGAAGCATATGCAGTAAAGGACACGATGAGGAGATATTGCATTTCTTGAAAATCGCATGTAGCTGTGTTGTCTCCAGGCCCAAGGAAAGGCCAACGATGATTCAGGTCTATGAATCTTTAAAGAGCATGGCGGATAAACACGGTGTTTCTGAACACTACGATGAATTTCCACTTGTCTTCAACAAACAAGAAGCTTGAGTAACTTACAAGAAAATAGTCTTCCTCTTTGGCAGCGTAAGCGCGCTAAAAAGGTATGAGAAATCTACTCTGTATCAAAAGCCTTTTTTTACTTAATTTCTCATTCTTTGTTCCCTACTGTTCTTACATTTTGACTGTGTCAGTCAGTGTTGGTGTTTGTCTTTCTGTCCTGCTGCTGTATAATTCTGTACATTCGGTGGGTTATCAATGTACTCTTTGGAATGTAACCTCTGTGATGAGATGAGAAGATTTCTGCTTGTTTCATAATTGTATGTACAGATCTTACAAGTTCTAGGCTTTCCTACTTATGGCATTTGGTCTAGTTTCTTAGGTTCCAAATGGCTCTATGCATTGAGGTTGAATCATGAAAGCATA